TGGCACATTAGGGCAAAAATACCTCTTCGCCTCTTATTCAAGAACCCGAAACTACAGTGAAGTGTGAAAAGGATCACGTTTATGTTCTCCTGATTGCTAGAGGATATTTACAAAATTGTTTTGTCAACAGCTCTTTGCATTAGGAGCAGAAATACCTCTTCGCCTTTTATACAAGAACACGAAACTAAAGCAAAGTGCGAAAAGGGACTCGTTTATGTTCTCCTGATATTAGGAGAATGTTTACAAATTGTCGCTCTTTCCATTAGGAGCAGAAATACTTCTTCGCCTCTTATACAAGAACCCAAAACTAAAGTGAAGTGCGAAAAGAGTTTCGTTTATGTTCTCCTGATAACCAGAGCATATTTACGAATCGTTTTGACAACCGCTCTTTGCATTAGGAGCAGAATACCTCTTCGCACATTATATTCCTTTAATCTAAGAACCCAAAACTATGGTCAAGTGCAAAACAAAATCGCGTTTATGTTCTCCTGATAGTTTGAGACTTTTTACAAATTGTTTCGTCAGTCGCTCTTTGCATTAGGGGCAGAAATACATCTTCTCCTCATGTACAAGAACCCGAAACTAAATTGAAATGCGAAAAGCGTCTCGGTTATGTTCTCCTGATAACCAGAGCATATTTACGAATTGTTTTGACAACCGCTCTTTGCATTAGGGGCAAAATACCTCTTCGCACATTATATTCCTTTAATCTAAGAACTTAAAACTATGGTCAAGTGCAAAAAAAATCGCGTTTATGTTCTCCTGATAGTTTGAGACTTTTTACAAATTGTTTCGTCAGTCGCTCTTTGCATTAGGGGCAGAAATACATCTTCTCCTCATGTACAAGAACCCGAAACTAAATTGAAATGCGAAAAGCGTCTCGGTTATGTTCTCCTGATAACCAGAGCATATTTACGAATTGTTTTGACAACCGCTCTTTGCATTAGGGGCAAAATACCTCTTCGCACATTATATTCCTTTAATCTAAGAACTTAAAACTATGGTCAAGTGCAAAAAAAATCGCGTTTATGTTCTCCTGATAGTTTGAGACTTTTTACAAATTGTTTCGTCAGTCGCTCTTTGCATTAGGGGCAGAAATACATCTTCTCCTCATGTACAAGAACCCGAAACTAAATTGAAATGCGAAAAGCGTCTCGGTTATGTTCTCCTGATAACCAGAGCATATTTACGAATTGTTTTGACAACCGCTCTTTGCAGTAGGAGCAAAATACCTCTTCGCACATTATATTCCTTTGATCTAAGAACCCAAAACTATGGTCAAGTGCAAAAAAATCGCGTTTATGTTCTCCTGATAGTTTGAGACTTTATATAAATTGTTTCGTCAGTCGCTCTTTGCATTAGGAGCAGAAATACCTCTTCTCCTCATAAACAACAACCCGAAACTAAAGTGAAATGCGAAAAGCGTCTCTGTTACTCATGTTGTTTGGTAGTCACTGCATTATATACCTTGGATCCAAGACCCCAAAAATAAAGTAAAGGATCTGCTTTATGTTTTCCTGATTGGTATTGATATTTTCAAATTTTTTTTGCCATTCTTTGCATTAGGAGCAGAAATACCTCTTCGCCTCTTACACAACAACCCGAAACTAAAGTGAAGTGCGAAAAGGGTAACGTTTATGTTCTTCTGATAGAGAATATTTACAAATTGTTTCGACAGCCGCTCTTTGCATTAGGAGCAGAAATACCTTCTATACAAGAACCCAAAATTAAAGTGAAGCGCGAAAGGAGTGTCGTTTATGTTCTCCTGATAGCCAGAGAATATTTGCAAATTGTTTCGACGGGCGCCTTTTGCATTAGGAGCAGAAATACCTCCTCGCACATTATATTCCTCTGATCTAAGAAAAAAACAAAAGTGAAGTGTGAAAAGGGTTCTTTATGTTCTCCTGGTAGTTAGAGAATATTAACAAAATTGTTTCGTCGGCGACTCTTTGCATTAGAACCAAAAACACCTCTTCGCCTCTTATAAAAGTATCCGTAATTGAAGTGAAGTACGAAAAGGGTCTCGTTTATGTTCTCCTGATGGCTAGAGAATATTTACAAATTTTTTTGGCCGACTTTGCATTAGGAATTGAAATACCTCTTCACCTCTTATACAAGAACACGAAACTAAAGCAAGGTTGAAAAGGGTCTTGTTTGTGTTGTCCTGATACGCGGAAAATAATTATAAATCGTTTTAACGGTGTCTCTGCAGAATTTCCTTTTAGCCTCGTATCCAAAAATACGAAACTCCAATGAAGTGCGAAAAAGGTCTCGTTTATGCACTCCTAATTGCTAGAAAATATTTACAGAATTTACAGAATTTGGCAGACACTCTTTTCATTAGGAGAAAAAATATCTCGTGCCAAATTATATTCTTTTGATCCAAGGCCTCAAAACTAAAGCGAAGTGCCAAAAGGGTCTCGTTTATGTTATCCTGATACTCAGAGAACATTTACAAATTGTTTCGACAGCCGCTCTTTGCATTAGGCGCAGAAATGTTTTCCTGTTCTCATCTTATACAAGAACCCGAAACTAACGTGAAGTGCGGAAAGGGCTCGTTTATGTTTTCCTAATAGTCGGAGAATACCTACTTACAAAATTGTTACGTCAGTCGCTCTTTGTATTAGGAGCAGAAATACCCCTTCTCCTCGTATGCATTGATACAAGAACCCGAAACTAAAGTGAAGTGCGAAAAGGGTCTCGTTTATATTCTCCTGATTGCTAGAGAATATTTTACAAAATCTTTTTGGTAGACACTTTGCATTAGGAGCAGGAATACCTATTTGCCTCCTCGAAACTAAAGTGCGAAAATGGTCTCGTTTATGTTTTCCTGATAGTCTCAGACTTTTTACAAATTGTTTCCACAGCCGTTCTTTGCATTCGGAGCAGAAATACCTCTTTGCCTCTTATGCAAGAACTCAAAACTAAAGTGAAGTGCGAAAAGGGTCTCGTTTATGTCCTCCTGATAAGTCTGAGAATATTTACAAATTGTTTCCTTAGCTCGTCTCATTTATGTTCTCCTGATTGCTAGAGAACATTTTTACAAAATCTTTTTGGAAGACACTTTGCATTAGGAGCAGGAATACCTATTTGCCTCCTCGAAACTAAAGTGCGAAAATGGTCTCGTTTATGTTTTCCTGATAGTCTCAGACTTTTTACAAATTGTTTCCACAGCCGTTCTTTGCATTAGGAGCAGAAATACCTCTTTGCCTCTTATGCAAGAACTCAAAACTAAAGTGAAGTGCGAAAAGGGTCTCGTTTATGTCCTCCTGATAAGTCAGAGAATATTTACAAATTGTTTCCTTAGCCTCGTCTCATTTATGTTCTCCTGATTGCTAGAGAACATTTTTACAAAATCTTTTTGGAAGACACTTTGCATTAGGAGCAGGAATACCTATTTGCCTCCTCGAAACTAAAGTGCGAAAATGGTCTCTTTTATGTTTTCCTGATAGTCTCAGACTTTTTACAAATTGTTTCCACAGCCGTTCTTTGCATTAGGAGCAGAAATACCTCTTCGCCTCTTATGCAAGAACTCAAAACTAAAGTGAAGTGCGAAAAGGGTCTCGTTTATGTCCTCCTGATAAGTCAGAGAATATTTACAAATTGTTTCCTTAGCCTCGTCTCATTTATGTTCTCCTGATTGCTAGAGAACATTTTTACAAAATCTTTTTGGTAGACACTTTGCATTAGGAGCAGGAATACCTCTTTGCCTCCCCGAAACTAAAGTGAAGTGCGAAATGGGCTCGTTTATATTTTCCTGATAGTCTCAGACTTTTTACAAATTGTTTCGACAGCCGTTTTGTGCATTAGGAGCAGAAATATCTATTCGTCTCTTATACATTTATACAAGAACCCGAAACTAATGTGACGTGCGAAAAGGGTCTCGTTAATGTTCTCCTGTTAGTCGGAGAATACTTACATAATTGGCACGTCAGTCGCTCCTTGTATTAGAAGCAGAAATAACTCTTCGTCTCGTATACAAGAACCTGAAACTAAAGTGAAGTACGAAAAGGGCTCGTTTATGTTTTCCTGATAGTCTCAGACTTTTTACAAATTGTTTCGACAGCCGTTCTTTGCATTAGGAGCAGCAATACCTCTTCGCCTTTTATACAAAGCTTCAAAGCTAAATTAAAGCGCAAAAAGCACCTCGTTTATGTTCTCCTGATAGTCGCAGACTTTTTACAAATTGTTTCGACAGCCGCTCTTTGCATAGGAGCAGAAATACATCTTTGCCTCTTCTACATGGACTCGAAACTAAAGTGAAGCGCGAAAAAAGTCTCGCTCGGAGTCTCGTTTATGTTTTCCTGATAGTGGGAGAATACTTACCAGTTGTTTCGTCGGTTGCTCTTTGCGTTAGGAGCAGAAATACCTCTTCGCCTCTCGTACAAGTACCCGAATCTAAAGTGAAATGGGAAAAGCGTATCATTTATATTCTCCTGATTGGTAAAGAATTGTTTCGTCAGCCGCTCGTTTCATTGGTAGCAGAAATACATCTTCGCCTCGTATACAAGAACTAAAAACCGAGCTAAAAAATAAAGTGAAGTGCGAAAAGGACCTCATTTATGTTCTCCTGATTGCTATAGATATTTATAACATTTTTGCAACACACTGCTCTGTCACTTTTGTTACATTTTCATGAAAGATCAAATAATCTGTCTTCAATCACGAAAAATGCCTTTTTCTTAGTTCTGCTCTCCTGGTAACGAAAGAAAGAAAAAAAAATTGTTTGACAGATACCCTTTGGTATTAGTACCAGTGTTGCTGGAAAGAAAACGGCAACATTTCCAAAATTGGTGTCTGTAATGAATGATGCTGCTGAACAGGGTGACAGCAGATCTAATCTTTTTCAGTTTATTATTGAGACAATTACGAAATTGTTATTTAATCCTTAATATGAGCTGTTATCAGTAGGGCCAACCATAAACTTGTATATGAATTACAAAAGACATAGCCTGACGAACGCCATCTATCGGACGTTGAGATTTGTTTTACACTTTCAGGTATGACAACCCAGAATGTAAGAAGCTAATCCTTCGGCGATGATCTTCACACTGTACTACATGTATTCGACGATAATCCAATGGTGGAGGCTGGGTTGTCTACGAAACAAGCTCAGCGGCACCCTCAACAGCCACAACGCCCTAATGGTGTGCGCCGGCAGTACGATATCGGATTCGAAGCACAAACGTTGCCTGGAAAATTTGCTATTTCACAACGAAGATCGAATCGGATGCACCGTCGTGCCAAAGGTGAGTCGACACCGACACATGACCCCATAACCTAACGAGTCACTCTTTAGCAACGAGTCGACCTAAGCCAGTGGCTTCTGTTCCCGAAGGATCTAAATTACTTTCCGATCTTCATTTCGGACGCGAACGTCGCCCTGAGATCGCCCAAGATCTATATGCTGCTCCGAGCGAGGCTCGACGATTACAGGCGTCACGAGAGCGAAATCATTCAGGTTAGTATTTTCTCGATAACGAGTCGACCTTTCCACATTTAATCGCACCTTGATCTTTCTCTTTTTGTCTTTAATCGGCCTGTTTTTGTTTATTACTGGACGTCAAATCGCTAATCTTAATTGAGGGATATGACACATTGAATTCGACTAATTGGCTATTGAGCAATCGGTGATACCTCAAAGAAGGCACATCACAATACGAAGGTGCGATGTTGCCATTTCGAGTTCTGCGTCCACCGTCGTTCTGCAATTCGCTTTGCCGCCGGTACGTGACCGCTGACGCATGCGGGTTGTTTGTGTTGAACGTGACGTCACGATAATGCTCGGGGCGTCACGTTCGCTCGGCCTAGTTTCCTGTATTGGCCTTATCGGTAATATGCAGATAAGCTACAAATGGATCGATTTATCAGCTGACTAAATGGCAAAGAGCAGGCTTGTACAGATGGTTAACAGTCGAAATGTGACGTTGAAAGTATACGGGTCCCACTTCCGCACAAAGGATTTCTACTTATTTACCTACATCATGGGCGGTGCTTAAGAAAATCGTTTTTTTTTTGTTTGAGAAGCGCGTGTGTTATGATAATACTCTCATCGTCACAACCCCTAACATTTTAAATATAATAAACACGTTTAAACATGCTCTTTGGTCGTGCAAAGTTTCGAAGCCACGAATTATTCAAGAAAAATCCAGTATTATTTCGCAAACGGCTAAACAAACAATTTTTATAGGTTTACCATTACTGATAATGCAAATCCTATACCGTGGCCATAATTCTCTCCACCTTACCCTTATTTAAACTTCAATAAAAATATATGGTAATTTGTATACAAAAGAACACACCTTATCGCTAACAAAACTGAATTCATTTACAGGAATATTCTCATTTGATTGAAGAAATTTCAAAGAATGAAAACAACCAAAATTGCTTCTAGATGAATTCCGTGATATTCAATATGATACAAATGTGTCCCATGCAGTCAGATTACTTTCAATAAAATTTAATGCAAGAGAACCGATCATTATTTGTTATACAAATCAAAGAAGATTACGTTACCTGAATTATAGGGGTTTCTAGAATCAATGGTACAAATTCGTATCGCCCTTCTCAAATTGAAGGTTCTCTTGAAGTTTCTTTGAATCTTCCTCGTTATTTCTCGTTGTGTAATTGTCCGGGCAATGAACTTTCTATTTATATTTTCTGCATTCAAGCTTTTATTTTTAGTATTATATTTATTGTGCAGTCATGATTATCAAGTCTGCGTGAGATTTGCTAACTTAACGGAAAATCACAGGAGAATTCTGATTGGACGAAAAAATAGTTTTTATTCGTGGAAAAGGTGCGAGGCTTGGGATGGGTGTGACTCATAAAAGATAAGTTAGTTGCTTGGGGAGAACCCTCAGGAAATCCGCGTTGAACCGTCGAGAACCGCGTTTGCCATGAGCCGTCAGCACAGTTATGTTGGTCACCTGTAATTCGGCGTAGGGTGCGTTTCAGTTGTTTTATTCCAGTTGAGCCGTGAGCGAAATTACCTTGACCACCTGTAAATTATTTTATATTATGTTACGAAATTATCAATGACATATGGTGCTTATGGAAAATATGTGTGCGCCTATGATAGCGAAGTTAAGTACATATAACACCAAACGCTGGAAATTTTTAAAATTGCAGCTTTTTAGTGACTAATTTACAAGGGAGAATTACAACTTAGAAACTATTACTATAAATACGAACAATGGTGGAAGTTTTTAACCCACAAAGATTAACTCTGCGGGACCTTAAATAAAATTAGGTTGAAAGGCAAGAAATTAATTGGCTAGTACGGAAAACGGTGTAAAATTAAACGCGCGAATTAAAACTATCGTTAAAAAGTAAATCGTAATTCGCCCGTCTGAAGTGATTGATTGGAGCAAATATTTTTTTATTTTATTACAGAAGCCATATAAACCATTGTAAAGCTTCTGACAATTCTGAATTTAATTTAGCCGCCAAAAATATGCTTAGTTTTTGCCATAGAAACAGCAATGTATTGTTCTGAACTTCATTTTGTTTTGTGCTGGGCGTCCCCAGATGTCATTAGAAAGCACAATTATCTGTTTCAGTTTGTGTACCCTTACGATTAAAGGGCGGCTCATTCAAACCTATTATAATGTCAATTTAACATCTGCAGCAACGGTTGTCAATGAAATTGATTCCAACCGCGAATGACGGAAACCTAAAAATAATACACGAGATAACCAAGGCGATTAAGCAAATGGCGGTCACTTAGTATGCATCCGCTAAGAAATTCAATTTATAGCCTCCATATGAGAGAAATATGGTATCTCGATCCAAAACTAATTCTAGATCAAACAAACATCCGGTGAATCGCCCTTAACAACCAACTTTAGGGACGGGGCCACATTCTGTGGGTGTAGGCGACATCTGGGCGCCATCCTCGAGCTTGATTTAGTAACGAGGTGATTTTTCAGTTTTTTTTTCTAGCTTATTCTACAGTTATGGTACGATTATTTTCAAACTGGTGTCGTTGAAAACATCTTGTAAACGCGTGTTTCTTTCATAGGGGAGAAATGAACCACCTTTTGCAAGGCGCGGTTCTTTGAGGGGCGCCCTTTTCCGCTGCCAATTTTGTCACGCAGTTAAAAGTTTTTTTAAGCTCGAATCTCGATCTTTCTTTCTCGTGTCGCCAATAGAAGCTCGAGCTATGAGAAGCGCGCCAAAAATGTAGTACTATTTTGTGAGGGTTTTTAGCAAAGTGCACCAAAATGGCGCATTTAATTTAATTTATTATCCCTCTCTTGTTCTGGGCCCTCAACAGGCTTGCGCCCAATTACAGAGTGACCCGCATAATGCTTTTTTAGAGGTGCCTCTGCAGAAGGTCTTAAGTTGTTCTATACTACTCAGGTATTTACCTTACGAATTAGGAAAACTGCAGGAAAACCTAATTCGGAGTAGCCGGTAGAATGCTCGAAACTGGTCTAAGGTAATTCCCATCTCTGCCACAGATGAAAAATTCACCCCAACCCAATTCAAAATAATTCACGATAACTAACTAATTCACGTTAATTCACCTTAACTCACGTAAATTCAAATTAATTCCTTTTAATTTAAATTAATTCATATCAATTCACGTTAATTCACATTAATTCTCGTTCATTCTAATTAATTCTCGTTCATTCTAATTAATTCACGTTACTTCTAATTAATTCACGTTAATTCAAAATAATTCAGGTAAATTAATGTTACTTCACGTTAACTCACGTAAATTCAAATTAATTCACGCTAATTCAATTTAAAAAAGGAGCAGAAATACCTCTTCGCCTCTTATAGAAGAACTCGAAACTAAAGTGAAGTGCGAAAACGGACTCACATTAATTCAAATTAATTCACGTGAATTCAAAATAATTCACGTAAATTAATGTTAATTCGCGTTAATTCACGTAAATTCAAATTAATTCACGCTAATTCAAATTAATTCCTTTTAATTCAAATTAATTCATATTAATTCACATTAATTCTCGTTCATTCTAATTAATTCACGTTACTTCTAATTATGTAATTCAAAATAATTCACGTAAATTAATGTTAATTCACGTTAACTCACGTAAATTCAAATTAATTCACGCTAATTCAATTTAAAAAAGGAGCAGAAATACCTCTTCGCCTCTTATAGAAGAACTCGAAACTAAAGTGAAGTGCGAAAACGGACTCACATTAATTCAAATTAATTCACGTGAATTCAAAATAATTCACGTAAATTAATGTTAATTCGCGTTAATTCACGTAAATTCAAATTAATTCACGCTAATTCAAATTAATTCCTTTTAATTCAAATTAATTCATATTAATTCACATTAATTCTCGTTCATTCTAATTAATTCACGTTACTTCTAATTATGTAATTCAAAATAATTCACGTAAATTAATGTTAATTCACGTTAACTCACGTAAATTCAAATTAATTCACGCTAATTCAATTTAAAAAAGGAGCAGAAATACCTCTTCGCCTCTTATAAAAGAACTCGAAACTAAAGTGAAATGCGAAAAGGATCTCCTGTATGTTCTCCTGATAGTCAGAGAATATTTAGAAATTGTTTCGACAGCCGCTCTTTGCATTCGGAGAAGAAATATCACTTCTTCTCTTATACATGAACCCTAAACTAAAGTGAAGTGCGAAAACGGTCTCGCTTAATTCACGTTAATTCAAAATAATTCACGTAAATTAATGTTAATTCGCGTTAATTCAAGTAAATTCACGTAAATTCAAATTAATTCACGCTAATTCAAATTAATTCATTTTAATTCAAATTAATTCACGTCAATTCAAATTAATTTACGTTAATTAAATTCACGTAAATTCAAATTAATTCCGTTAACTCACATTAATTCTCGTTAATTCTAATTAATTTACGTTACTTCTAATTAATTCACGTTAATTCAAATTAATTCGAGCTAATTCAAATTAATTCACTTAATTCAAATTCACGTAAATTCAAATTAATTCTCGTTAATTCACATTAATTCTCGTTCATTCTAATTAATTCACGTTACTTCTAGTTAACTAATTAACTCACGCTAATTCAAATTAATTTCCGTTAATTCAAATTAATTCAGAGGAATGTACACCAAAAATTGTTTGTCTCTAGCCATTACACATAACTCAAAAACAAAAGATTATAGGCCAGTTTGGATTTCAATTTCGAGTTTATCTGAAATAAAAATAAATCGAGAATGCCAGGTCAATTTTTTTACTTATACTGAGTTGACCCATACTAATTACCAAAGTTGGCCACAATATAAAGCAGTTTTCAATGAAGAAGTAAAAAGGTTTCGAGTAACTTTACCAGGATTTCCATGGATTGACCAAAAGCCCATAACTATGTGCGCTATGTTTTTCTTCACTAGAAGCATCTGTGGTTCAAATTTCAAAGAAATGGCTCCATACATAAGCGCGGGAGGAGTGTTCGTAGCCCGAAACACGAAAATATAGAGCCGATCATA